TATGGATTTCTATTTTGATTTGCATAAGTAGTTTATGTTTTAGGGTTTTTGATATATTACTCTTTTTAAGGGATATGATATAATTGTTTAATTGAATTCACTAGCTAAGTGGTTTTCAAATGATTAATTAAAAGATGATTATATGTTGGCTTTCTAGGTATAATTATTAATTAATCATAACTTAGATGTTATCTAATATTTTTTTCTTTTGACTTAGTAATTGTTTTTGTACAAACTCCTCATCCTTTTGAAATTTGAACCATGATAGCCACTCATCAACGTCCTCGGGAAATGCATCTTTTTAGTAAAATCTTCATTCCTTTTGTTTTCTTTTAATTATTGTTATTTCTTTTTTTATTTTTCTCAATTTATTTTCTTAAACAATCAATCATTTTTCTTTTCTACTTCTTCCTTCTCGACATCACATTTTTCTTAGTTAAAAGGGTTTTCAAAATTTTAATGAAACTCCTCATAGAGAAAGACGACCTAAGTTGACCTCTATATTATATAAGGTTAATTTAGTTAATTAATTTAAGAGCTTACATGACAGGGTGATCATCTCCTCAAAGATTGGGCAATGTATTCTATTTGAAAGGGGGGGGGTTCCGGAAAGGTTTGAAAGTGGGGATGGGATTTGGGAGTGAGGGTGGTTATTGTAGAAATTGACTCAAAAAGTTGCTCTGAGGTTAAAAGGGAAGGATAAAGTCGGGACCTTTGCTTATGGTCTTTGCTCTTGGATATTTGAATTGATGGACAAAAACTGGAGAATTCGAGTTAGGAAGATGAGCAGAATTGCAAATGGAAGTGCTGATATTTTGGCAAGGATGAGCTTTAGTCTCTCCTTGGAGTTGCAGATCTAGTGTTGCTTAATCAATCAACACAAGGAGTCTGAGGATGTGGGCAGAACTGCAGGCAAGTGCCAGTTAATTAGGTTTTCTTGCTCTAGGCTTGGGCCTTCTTTGTTTACCACCAAAAAAAAAAGTCATATATTATGTGTGATAAGTTTTCTTTTCAAATCCAGGTATCTCTTACCAGCGCACGTTGGCACGACTGGTAAGGGAGTCGTGTTCCCTTAACCATCGCTTTTGGGGTTCGATTTTTGGAGGGATGGGAATGGAGCAAGCGTGTCTGGGAGGGTCATCCCCATCATGGGCCCAACAGTACCCGAGGGATTAATCATTGGGCTCGCTCCGATGGATACCCTGGTGCATACCAAAAAAAAATCCAGGTATCTCTTCCATCACGTGTTTCACATTGTTCCATACCTGCCCACATAGACATTTCACCAGCCCCTTTTAAACGCATTGGTTGCCGCGCGCTCTTTCACCTGCTTCTTCCCCTTTCTCTTTCTCTGCCACTGAAAGCTAATGCCAACAAGGACTTTAAACTATCCTCTGTTTTTTTTTTTTTTTTAATTTGTAGCTTAAAAAAAGCTTCATATGTAGGAGAAGTGAATTATTGTTAACAATTAATTGTTATATAGTAGGTACTTAACATTATTGTATATATGTGCACCTTTTGAGATCTTTAGATTTGATTAACTAATGAGGACGACGAAAATGTTCGAATATTACAAATAAAAAATAATAGTATATGCAAATAAATTATGAACGTGCAACTGTTTAAATATATATGAAACCTAGGGAAAATAATATTGAAACTATATTAATAATTGTTGCTCTTGCTACTACTATAGATATAAGAGATACTAGAAGGGTTTATTTTGACCTTAAATATAAAATCTTAATTTACTTTCTCTTCCAAATTTATAACTATTTTTTTAGACACTCCCTCTTGAAGTAGTTTCTTATATATACAATTATTAGAGAAGATACTTTAGGAAAATCAATGCACATTTCTTAAAAAAATGACCTTAAATAATTTTTTTTAGTGTTTACAAATTAGTTATCTAATTTTTATGTCTAACCTATTTAGAACCGAAAGGAATATTTTTTAACTTATGATATTAAGATATGTTTCATTATACACACAGATATACATTAGAATATCAATTAAAAATACTTAATTTGGATTTATCATCTCCATTATTATTATTTACGTTGTCATGTCGGCTTGAGATGATTAATGAATACATGAATCACTACTTTAAAAAAAAAAAAAAGTCATTAGTATATAAAGACGGAAAGAGAAAGGGGAAGAAGTATGTGAAAGTGCACGTGGCAACCAACATGCTTGAAGGGGGCTGATGAAGCGTCCACGTTGGTGAGTTGTGGACTCCCTTTAATTTATCAACATGCGTTTCATCAGCCCCCATCAAATGTGTCGGTTGTCAAACTCAACTCTCTCTCGTTCTTTTCCCCCCTTGACAACTCAACACCACAATTTCACAGCTAGCTTACATCAAAGTATGAAGATATATTTAAAAATAAAAAGGGAAAATTACAAATAAAGACCCCTCAATATATAAAATGGCAATCAGGGACCCTAAATTTGAGAAATTGCTCACAAGGACCCGGTCCCAATTTGCAATTATGAAATCATGGTCAAATTACCAAAATACCCCTCTTTAATTTTTTTTTTTAAAAAAAGAACACCACTGCCTCGCCGGAATCCGGCCGCCGGCGTCGGAGTTCCGGCCGCTGGAGCTTCGCCACCTCAGCTCGCCGGAGCTCCGATGCCGGCGGCCGGATTCCGGCGGCCTTCCTTTATTTTTTTTTTGAAACTGTATTTTTTTTTAAAATTGGGGGGAAGTGAGGTTGGGGGGATTTGATCCCCCAACCTCATGCTTCCCAAAATTAGGAATGACCATTGAGCCAACAAATTTTTGCTAACATTATAATACAAAAAAAAATATAAGTTAACTCATTTACTCTTGTTCCAGGTGATAACAAGAATACATTTGAAAATAACAAGTTCTGATTATAAAATAACAAATCTGGGATTAAAATTAAACAACACGTTTTTTTTATAACAACACACTCTGTTGCAGGTGATAACAAGAATACATTTGAAAATAACAAGTTCTGATTATAAAATAACAAGTCTGGGATTAAAATTTAACAACACGTTTTTTTTATAACAACACACTCTGTTTCAGGTGATAACAACAATACATTTGGAAATAACAAGTTCTGATTATAAAATAACAAGTCTGGGATTAAAATTTAACAACACGTTTTTTTTATAACAACACACTCTGTTGCAGGTGATAACAACAATACATTTGAAAATAACAAGTTCTGATTATAAAATAACAAGTCTGGGATTAAAATTTAACAACACGTTTTTTTATAACCACACTCTTTTTCAGGTGATAACAACAATACATTTGGAAATAACAGGTTCTGATTATAAAATAACAAGTCTGGAATTAAAATTTAAGAGCACCTTTTTTTTTATATAACAACACATTTTATTCCAAGTGATAACAACAATACATTTGAAAATAACAAGTTCTGATTATAAAATAAGAAATCTAAAATTAAAATTTAACAACACATTTTTTTATAACAATTAATTATTTTATACTTTTGAAAAATAAATTATTTATAACTTATCAAAAGTATTTTAAATCTATTTAATTTGCTAAAAAAATAATTTTTATCTCCAATTTATAATCAAAACTTGAAGTGTAATTTATTATAGATTAAAAATACTTTTTTATTGTTCAAATTTATAAATAAAATTTAGGGAAAATGACAACACACTTTTTTAATTTTTTTTTAAAATTTTTTAATCTATATATCTATACTATAAATAATTTATTTTTCAAAAGTATAAAATAATTAATTGTTATAAAAAAATGTGTTGTTAAATTTTAATTTTAGATTTCTTATTTTATAATCAGAACTTGTTATTTTCAAATGTATTGCTGTTATCACTTGGAATAAAATGTGTTGTTATATAAAAAAAAACGTGCTCTTAAATTTTAATCCCAGACTTGTTATTTTATAATCAGAACCTGTTATTTCCAAATGTATTGTTGTTATCACCTGAAAAAGAGTGTGGTTATAAAAAAAACGTGTTGTTAAATTTTAATCCCAGACTTGTTATTTTATAATCAGAACTTGTTATTTTCAAATGTATTGTTGTTATCACCTGCAACAGAGTGTGTTGTTATAAAAAAAAACGTGTTGTTAAATTTTAATCCCAGACTTGTTATTTTATAATCAGAACTTGTTATTTCCAAATGTATTGTTGTTATCACCTGAAACAGAGTGTGTTGTTATAAAAAAAACGTGTTATTAAATTTTAATCCCAGACTTGTTATTTTATAATCAGAACTTGTTATTTTCAAATGTATTCTTGTTATCACCTGGAACAAGAATAAATGAGTTAACTTATTTTTTTTTTTGTATTATAATGTTAGTAAAAATTTGTTGGCTCAATGGTCATTCCTAATTTTGAGAAGCATGAGGTTGGGGATCAAATCCCCCCAACCTCACTTCCCCCCAATTTTAAAAAAAAATAGTTTCAAAAAAAAAAAAGGAAGGCCGCCGGCATCGGAGCTCCGGCGGCCGGATTCCGGTGAGGCAGTGGTGTTCTTTTTTGGAAAAAAAAATTAAAGAGGGGTATTTTGGTAATTTGACCATGATTTCATAATTGCAAATTGAGACCAGGTCCTTGTGAGCAATTTCTCAAATTTAGGGTCCCTGATTTGCTATGTTATATATTGAGGGGTCTTCATTTACAATTTTCCCAAATAAAAATATATTTCTAATTTATTTATTATTTTTACTAATTTTAACTAATTATTTACTATTTATAAATTAGTTATTTAAAATTTATAATAAAAATTTCTGGTATAATTAGAGGCACAGTCATTGAGACGAATGATTTGTTTGCGCTGAATTAAAGCATCCAAAAATCGCGTTTCCCAAGAAAAAAGTAAAGTAGAAAAGTAGAATGCACTATTAATTTTGCCTCAATTATGAGACGCGTCAATTATCCAACCAAGTATTAGCACGGCCCCACAACTTTCGTTCTTTACCCGGTGATATTTCTGCTCAGGACAAACGTAAAAAGCTGAAGGAACATTGTGTCGATCGCCTCTTTCCACAACAATTTGCTCCTTTGTTATAAAAGCATATATATTTACATACCACATTGAATTTATCAATTTCTGAATATAAACAAAGATGAATAGTAGTCTGGCCACGTGTGCAGCAAGTATCCCTCATCTAGCGCTCTCCGGCAACCGCAGCATGCCGGTGATTGGCCTTGGCACGGCGGCTGATTCACCGGGGAAGGAAACCACCAAAGGGGCAGTGATAGAGGCTATAAAACTCGGGTACAGACACTTTGACACAGCCTCAGTGTATGGATCAGAAGAGTTTGTCGGAGAAGGCATAGCTGAAGCATTTCATCTTGGCCTTGTCAAGTCACGAGACGAACTATTCGTCACTTCTAAGCTCTGGTGTAGCGATAATCATCCTGGCCATGTCATTCCTGCTTTACGGAGATCACTTGGGTAAGAAAATTAATTACTATGCTTGTTTAAGTTACTGCTGAATATTACTCCCTCCCGTTCTTGTGACGAGGACTTTTAACCTAACATGACACGTTCTGTTTAAAGTAATAATTTTTTCTTAACCACTGGCTTTTATTGAGGATAATTTTGACATTTTACCGGCTAGAAATAACTAATTTTAATTGTCCATCCTAATTGACATGAAGTTGTTAATTGGTGCTTATAAATAGGAGTGGAGGGAGTATTATTGAAACAAGTTTGGCCTTGTGGTCATAACCTGCTGATTTTAATAACTGATGCGTGCAGGTATCTGAGATTAGAATATGTAGATCTTTATTTGATCCATTTTCCCCTCAGTGCCAAACCTTGGAATATGAAATTCCCATTTGACAAAAACGAGGTGGTACCATTTGATATGAAGGGAGTGTGGGCAGAAATGGAAGAATGCAAGAAGATGGGACTCACAAAATCCATTGGAGTCAGCAATTTCTCCACCAAGAAGCTTCAAAATCTTCTTTCCTTCACTACCATTCCTCCTTCTGTCAATCAAGTATTTGTTCACTGCTTCACTTTGATTCTTCAGCACAGTAATTATATTAAGAAGTACATAAATAGCTTCTGGTAATGATTATATAAGTACGTACAAAACTGATCATACAGGTAGAGATGAATCCTTGTTGGCAACAGAACAAGCTAAGAGAATACTGCAAAGAAAAGGGTATAATCGTAACTGCATATTCTCCTTTGGGAGCCCAGGGAGCCAGTTGGGGCACAAATAATGTTATGGACAATGAATTGCTTAATGAGATAGCTGAGGCCAATGGAAAATCTGTTGCCCAGGTGCTCCTAATCCTTATGATTTCTAGTTTTCTTCGGAATTCGAATGGTATCTCTGTCATCAAAAGTAAATCCTTTCAGATTTTTGTTTTCTCATTTTATCTCAGAATCTCAATTTCCGCTCTTATATAAAAAAAATGAATGGTTTACATTTAATATTTTATACAAGTATTGTCATGATATTTTATAAATTATTTTTTTGTTTTTTTATATAATATAATTGTAAGCTGTTCAAATCAAATGTTAACAATTTAAAATTGTATGTAATATTACAATAACATATTATAAAACATTAAGTTTGATCCATCTAATTTTTAATCTAAGGGTGGGGATGTGAATCTGAGAGGAAAAAGAAGAGAAAAGAATTATGAGAAGATCCGAAACCCTGCTGTGATTAATTTTCTTTGTCTTTTTTTCTTTTTGTTGGGTTGAATAGGTATGTCTGAGATGGTTGTATGAGAAAGGAGTGAGTTTTGTGGTGAAGAGCTACAACAAAGAGAGGATGAAGAAGAACTTAGAAATATTTGATTGGTCACTCAATGAAAGTGACTTGGAGAAGATAGCTCAAGTGAAGCAGCACCGTATGAACCTCGGACCTACTACTGGTCTTGAAGATTTATTTGATGGTGAAACCTAATTAATTATGATTGTATACAGAGCTGATGTTTCATGATTCTCTTCTTATTCAAATTGTAAGAGTTAGTATGAGGGTTTATTTTTATCTTAAATAAAAAATCTCAATCTGCTGTCTCTGAAATTTATACTAGTTTTTTTTTTGGCAAATTATATCTATTAATTGCACTTATTAAAAGAGTTTTCATTCACAGTATTTTTCAGTGCAAATGATTAAAAGATTATTTTAGAAAAACTAAATATTTCTTACAAAGTAACTAAGTTTACTCACTAATTCTTTAATCTCTATAAATTAATTATTTAGCTCCTGCATTTAGAGGTAGACCGAGGGAATAACTATATTCCTTAGAATTTGTTCGTATACTTCCAAGAGAATGCCATACCTGGGTTTGATTACATTGTATTTGATTGTGTTTTGTAATTTTCCTGTGACAATTGCCTTTTCCCGTGGTGGTTGCCATGACTTCCGGTAATGGTTATTGACAATGTGTAATGATCTCAATTCCAAAATACCTCAACAGAATGGAATCATCAGCATATATTTAATATTCAATCCAGTTATAGTTATAGGCATATGAAAATACTTCAAATAGTATTGCAAACAAATTGATAGAAACTGAGGAAAGATACAGAAAGAAGGGAAAGAGACAGAAGCTATAGAGAGAGGATTCCAAGAGTGGGACCAGAGAGAGAAGATCATCCACACCCCTCCCATAACCTTTTTTTTTTTTTTGGTAAAAGAGAGGACAAAAATGTCCAAAACAAAAAAAGATCAACTCATGGGGGAATCAGATCCCACTCTTTCGCTAGCCACTAAATCTAGTAAATTCGATGGACAAGAACCAAAAAATGAAGATCTAGAAAGACCCTCTTTGGCAAGTGCATCCGCAAGCTGGTTATGCTCCCTTGGAATAGCTTTCAACTCTAAACTCCAATCCAGTCTCATAAGATTTGAAATCTGCATAGTAAGAAGACTGCCTCTTGAAGTAATCGTGTTGTTCTTTGAGAGATCCACAATATTTCTAGCATCTGACTCAATGATTATTTTCTTGAATCCACAGTCCCAAGCAAGTTGGAGACCTCTATAGATAGCCCACTCCTCAGCCTCTTGTGCCGAACTTGTGCCAAGATAACGAGAAAAACCAACCACCCAATTGCCCATGTTATATCTAACCACTCCACCACACCCTGCCATTTTCTTTGACATAGCCATTGCACCGTCTACATTCAATTTAAACCACCCAATAGGAGGTGGTTGCCAAGCTGGAACTTGTCCCCGTGATTGGTTTAGGGCCGAATTCATCTCTTGTACTTGCACAAAGTGTCGCCAAGTCTGCATAATTACAGCTGTTGGATTTGAAGGTTTTATAAAATCATCATTAAAGATACTATTGTTTCTCCACAACCAAAGCTTCCAAATACTCACTCCCCATAACAAGTTCCAGTTACCATTAGAAATATAACCGAGGTCCCTCTTAAAGTTCAGAGCAAACCAGTCACGCAGGTGTGCAGCAAAAAAAGCAGAATGATACTTGGGATGAACTAAATGTTTCCACAAGCCACTAGCATATTCACAATCTCTTAAGATGTGTAACACATCTTCTGACCCAGAGTTACAGCAAGGACAAATATCCTGTGTTGCAGACCATTTACTTTGCCAGCCGTTTGTGGGTAGTCTATTATTGAAGGCAATTCACATAAAAACGCGTATGCGCTCAGCTCCCCTCCATTTCCATATAGCCTTGTAAACAGAACTATAAGTATTTGGAGGATTTTTTTCAACCATGTAATAAGCACTTTTTAGAGTAAATGCCACGTCAACAGTAGCATTCCAGGATAGAATATCATCCCCTGCCCCTTCCAAAGGAGGTAACGTTGTAATAAGGCGTTGAAACACACAGTTTGGAACTAGATTTGATAATCTCTGAAAATCCCAGGCTCCATAAGATACTCAAACTGCAACTTTGCTATTATTTTCTTCTTCCGTTAAAGGACGAAGGCACAGATCCTTAACTTTTCTGTCAGGAAAAAGCCAGCAATCATTAAAGAAATTCACAGAATGGCCATTTCGAATACTCCACTTCATACCCATATCAACAATATGACGCTGCTGTGCTATAAATTTCCACAAACAAGAGTCACTCGGATGAACCTCTAAGAGATTATCCTCACTGCGTAACATGTACTTATGAAGCAAAATCTCAGCCCAAAGACCTTTTGCACTTGTCACCAGCTTCCATGCTATTTGGCCCCGTAAACTTGATTAACAGTAGTCAATCACTTGAAACCCAGTCCTCCATAGAGTTTTGGCAACACCATTTGATCCCATCTAATAGGATGAAAACCATGAAGGCTCTGACTATGTCCCCATATAAAATTCCTTTGCAATCTTTCCACATCATGACATACAGCTATAGGAATTTTTGACACTTGTATAGGGTATAAAGAAATAGCACTGAGTACTGACTTGGCAAGAGTGATGCATCCAGCCATCGAAAGGCAATTTTCTTTCCAACCAGCAAGTTTTGACTTCACTCTATCAATAATATACTGAAAAGTATCTATCGGTTTCCTCAATCTAGTGATTGGAAACCCCAGATATTTTCCAATTTTAGTAGAAATATTCATCCCAGTAATCTCTTTAATTCTCTGCTTAGTCCTAGCTAGAACTCTTGGCGAGAAAAAAATAGTAGACTTACTTTTGCTAATTTTCTCCCCGAAAGCCAAGCAAAATTTATTCAAACAACTCATCATACATAAAGCTTGTTCCGTTGCAGCTCCAAAAAGCAAAATATCATCGGCGAACATTAAATGAGAAATAGACGGTCCATCTTTTGCCACTCTCACTGGTTTCCAACTACCATCTTTAACTGCATCATAGATCAAGTGCGAGAGCTTGTCTATGCACAAAACAAACAGTAAGGGAGAAATAGGGTCCCCTTACCGGAGTCCCCTCATTGGAGAAAAGTACTCAGTTTGAGATCCATTCCATAGCACATTATAAGTAACAGAAGAGACACAGGCTTTAATTAAATTAACAAAGCCATCATCAAATCCGACTTCTAATAAAACTTGCTGCAAGAAACCCCATCTAATCCTATCATATGCCTTCTCTAAATCAATCTTCAAAGCCATCAAACCTTTTTTTCCCTTTGATTTCTTCATGATATGCATAATCTCTTGCCCCACAATGATGTTATCTTGAATATTTCTCCCTTTAATAAAACTAGTTTGATAAGGAGAAATAATGTTATCCATGACAGACTCAATCTAATAGCAATAATCTTTGTTATGCATTTATAGTGCATCGTACAAAGGGAAATAGATCTGAAATGACCCACTAACTGAGGATTCTCATTCTTAGGAATCAAAGAAATAAGCGTTCTATTATCTTCCACCTCCACATTCTTGGTAAGAAAAGCTTCTCTAACAAAATCGCATAGCTTTGCTCCTACAATACTCTAGTTGGACTGATAAAAGATAGGAGCGAAGCCATCTACTCCTGGTGCTTTATAAGGGCCCATGGAAAATAACGCACTTTTGACTTCCTCAACAGAAGGTGCTCTGCTCATATCAGACAAGGTGGATCTGTCTATCAAGGAGAAACTAGTCCTCATAAATAGAACATAAGAAGACTGTTCCTCACAAATATAAAGATTTTTAAAATAATTAAGAACCAGAGCCTTAACTTCAACTTCATCTTCAATCCACCGATTATGGTCATCCTTCAAGGTCATGATCTTGCTCCTCCTTCTTCTTAACTTAGTCCTGAGATGGTAGTATCTAGTGTTCTTATCACCTCTTGTAATCCACTCGGTCCTGGCTTTTTGAAACCATTTGATCTCTTCCGCTTTCAATAATTGTTTAAAATCAGACTGTAACTCTTTTTCCAGGTTACATAGAAAGAGAGAAAAAGGATAGGCCAAGGAGTTCTGGATTCCTTTCAACCTACTCAAAATTGTTCTCTTCCTCTGTTCAACAAAACCAAAAGTGCTTCTATTCCAATCCAAAAGATCATTCTTTAAATTAGCTAACGACTTAGAGATAGTACCATTATTTTTCTAGGCTTCATACAGAAAATCTTTAAAGTTCTCGTGTTGAAGCCACATTGCTTCAAAATGAAAAGGCTTTATCCCTCTATTAACGTTACTTTGAGCAGGAAGACATAAAACCAAAGGATTATGATCCGAGAAGAGAGTTCTAGGAAGAACCTTTAAACTACCTTTTGTAATTCAAAGCAGAAACTCATCATTAACAAAAGCTCTGTCAAGACGTTCGTATAGATGAGAACACCCAGAAATCTTCGATCCTTTCCAAGTAAAACGCGGTCCATTGAACCCCAAATCAGATAACCCACATTCTCGAACTCTATCTTGAAACCAATTAATTCGACTAAAGTTGCACCCACTCCCTCCAATCCGTTCTGAAGCATGCAAAATATCATTAAAGTCACCATAAACCACCCAAGGCTTTGAGATTGCTGAAGAAAAATGCCTTAAGGAATTTTAGAGTAGCTGTCTATTATTTGAATGAGGAATGGCGTAGATGGAAGTGAGGAAAAAAGAAGATTTACTTGGTATCTCACAATCCAAATGGAAAAATTGTTGATTCTCAACCAAAACATTAATCTAAATATTGTTACTCTTCCAGGCTGCTACAATTCCCCCAGATCTTCCAATACTTGGAATCACTTTGATCGAATCAAATCCAAGAGCATGAAGGGGGTGAAATTTTGTTTGATCTTCACACCTTGTTTCTGCCAAAATAATTAAAATGGGCTTGGGCCCTTCACACACAGCTTTAAGATTTCTGAGGAGCCCCTTACTACAGGCTCCCCTTGTGTTCCAATATAGGAGACTATCCATATAAAACAAATGAATAGTTTGAAATAATGCAGACCAATTAAAACCCATTAGAGAATTGGGTCTCAGGTACCATCGTACTCTCAACATAGTCATCCTCTTGCATCAAGCTTGTTGGATTGTTAAAAGGAGGCCTAATACTAGGATCACCTGGGTCTACCTCCTCAATCCTAATCCTATCCAAATTAGTGAAGGACTTTGGACATTGGGCTTTGTCTCTTGGGCCCAAATCCGTTATGTTCTCAACCTCACGTTCCACTAACTCACCCTCCGGTATATTCTCTCCCTCATTTGTCTTTTCGTTACATTCCTCCATAGTGATCATCAGAATTTCATTGCTTCCCATTTCACGCCCTAACATCTCCCTTGTCCTCTTCTCACATTTTCTACTTACCTCCATCTCCTTTAATTTCTCATTTGTCTCCCTCGAAATCACTTGCTCCTCTAACTTCTCGTTTGCTTCCCATGTTATAGCTCCCTCAATATTTTCTCTTTCCTGCTGTCTTTTGCCTGTGCTTTTTTTCTTTCCATTTGAAGCTCATACAACATTAGTGCGTTGTGTCCATTTTTGTGTCTCAGGTACGGAATACACAACCTCATCCCGTACGTTCTCATTATGCTCTGCCTCATGCGATTGCTCTTCCACGTCAGCCAGAACGCCGAATCAAGAACCCCACTTTTCTAACTGGTTAGCTTCTCCCCTGTTCTCTTTCACTCTTCTTTGCTGGCGAGGTTTCTGAACCACCCGCCACTAATCTTGAGAAATTATGCTTTCGTGAATAACCACACCTTTATACTCTTTTGGATTAGTTTGTGTTGCCCTTGGATTTGGATTTACTTCAGCTCTCTATTCTTTCTCTCTTTTTGGACAAACTTCACTTCTATGCCCATAAATACCACAATTTGAGCAGAGCATATGGAGCCCCTCATACTCAAGGTAATACTCCTCTCCATCTAATGAAAATCCCGACATTAACTGCTTCCCCAAATCAACTAGAACACAAATACAAGCATAATGACCTCTTAGCTGACAAGAGGTATTCATATCCACTTTAATAGTTTCTCCAATCTGATTACCAATAATTGTTAAGGCCTACTCATCATAGTATTCTAAGAACACCCTTGGCATCCTGACCCAGACTGCTACCTTGTCTATGGTTGCTCTAGCTGGTTGGAACCTTGGTTCCCATGGTCTCACAGTTAGGTAATGATCATAGATCATCCAAGGGCCTCCTATAAGTACATTAAAATAATCTTTTCGATTTGATAACTTCACAAAAAAGAAGCCATAACCAATTATAATGAGGTTAATGACACCTTTTTTTGCCCACAAGGATTGCAGACGTGACTGGAGAGCTTTATAACCAATAGACCTGTCTAAGAGCTTAACTATCACCGCCTTCCTCCAAGCTCTGTACAACTTTTTCTTCATTTTCCCAAAAAAAGAAAACGTAGGGAAATTCTTGTTAGGATCCTCTATTGTTTTGCATAATGGTTCATCCTTCTCCTATTCCATAGCTTGGTGAGATCCTTCAAACATAGAATCTTCTGAATCTTCCTCGTCCGCATTCTCAATGTCATCATCAGAATGATCATTGTTTCTATCTACACCTTTCAGCTTTTCTGCAAACGAGGGCCCTCCAATATTATATTCAGAACTCTTCAACCCCACCTTTGGCCAATGGCCCCTGAGGATATTGTCACTATTATCTCTGGGCCCATTCTTGATCTTCTTTGAACTTCGCACCAGCAAGTCATCCTCTTCCTGAGACGGTGGAATCAACAGTGTTTTCCCAGCAAGCACGAGTGCCATAACCAATTTTGTCCCTATTGTACTGCCTCCATCTTAGAATATTCATGCTTTCCATCTCCTCCTCAGGCTGTACAAGCATATGCCATTTGGGCTCACTTTTTGGGTCATTTTCTTAGCCCATTCATTTGGAATCATGACACAATGGCTTTGATATTTTGGCTGGGGTTAGTATTTTATGTCTAGATAAGGGCATATATTATAAATACAAAACATTAAATTAAAATAATGCTACAATTCCATCAACATACAAAACATGTTTTTAAATCCAGTTTTATTATTTTTGCTTCCACTTCCATCAAAATTTCCTTCTCGTACGGAACCTAACATTAGATTCTCATCTTGTATAAGAAAAGGGTAGGTTTTATTGGTGGATGATCCTCTTCACTTTATGCATGGAAAGACTAAATCATTTAATTCTAGATGCTATTGAAGACACATACTAGGCCCCAATCAAGCTTAATCCAGGAGGTCTTAAGATTTCACACTTATTCTTTGCGGATGACTTATTTCTCTTTGGGGAAGCTTCTAACTTTCACAATGAAGCAATGATGGACTACATGAATAGATTTTGTGATGTGTCTGGACAGAAAATGAACAAGGTAAAAACAAAGATTATCTTCTCCAAGAATGTGCATTCTTCTAGAGCTATAGAACTCAGTCAAAAGATGGATGTTGGGCTTATAGGGGATCTTGGTAAATACTTGGGAATCCCTCTTATTAGTGGAAGAGCTTCTTAGATCCATTTTGCCCCCTTGCTGGAAAAGACGCAGAGGAGACTCACAGGTTGGAAAAGGAATTGTCTCAATTTATCAAAACGGATAGTTCTCATAAGAGCAGTCCTTTCGGCTCTTCCATCCTACTATATGCAGACTAGACTTCTCCCTAAGAAACTCATTGGACAACTTGAGAGAACTAGTAGGAGCTTCTTATGGGGAGAAAATGAAAATGCAAGAAAGATGAACTTGATATCCTAGAGTCAAATTCACTGTGATAAGGAAGCAGGAGGATTGGGCATCAAAGATTTGAGAAAACAAAATGAAGCATGCATCATGAAGCTGTGTTGGAATCTTCTTGTTAAGAAGGAGGCTCTCTGGATCAAGGTCTTGAGATCCAAATACCGATGTGGTAATTCGAGTATGCTTGATGTTACACGCCAAGCTCAATTGGCAGATATATCCCAACTTAACCCTTTAGGCACTGAGGAGATTTCTTATCACATAAAATATTGACAAAGTATATATGAAAGAGAGATTTGCTATGAATTAATTAAGTAGTTATTAATTAGAAAAAAATATCCATAGTGCCATAAAAAAATTAAATACAAATACATTCTCCAAATTTAATTTAATATTAACATGTCCTAAGGTATTTAATATTTACAAGTCAAATTTTCATATATACGTACAACAAATCGAGTAGCATCATCCGCAAGTCAAACTTGTAAATACTCCTTCTAAAATTCTTTTGGTTTGTTTATAAGAAACAACATTTTGTATGGAGCATTTATTAGTATAAAAGAAATTTATGCTCTCTCAAAGAAGAGTATTTATTAATGAGATCAATTATTAAAAGCCACCAACCAACTACTAAATGAGAGTATTTTTTAAAAGAAATTTGAATATTTAACATACTTATTAATCCAACTAATTTCACCAACATGTTTGGATCCTTGAGAATTAGTTATTCATCTCTTATAAAAGGAACTGAAAGGAGAAATAAATTCTTTCATATTGTTAATATTAAATAAAATTCAAGGGCCTATCATGTATTTAATTTTGGGATAATTACAATTAGGTCCCAAAAAAGGGATTTAATTACCTTAAAGTCCATTAACAAGTGAAGAGTAAGCAATGACAAGTTTTAGAGTTGGGCATGACAACAAGGTCATATTGGTCACTTGTCATTGGGACATTTTGATAATTAAATTTCTTCTTTAGGGCCTCTTGGTAATTCACTCTTTGGTTTTCTTACCTAAGACCTATGAGTAATTTTTCTCATTAATTAATTCATAATTTGATTAAATATGCAGCATCATTTAGCCACCAATTTGAATATCCTATTCTTCTAATTTATTTGATTGTTATAGTTAGTCTTAATGGAAGGGATTTTGACTATTTAAGCATGGCATTTTGAGTTTAAATAGTTAAAATATTAAATCAAAATCAATGACAAGCTAAGCCGTTTTTGTATTCACTGTCGGCTCATCTCTCATTTTACTATTCCATGTATAGTAACGGCTTGTGAATAGCTGTTGGCTTATTTGTGTGACTAAATGCATTTATTTTGGTCTGAGTCATCACCGATTATCATATATGTGATGCCGGTTATTTTAAGATCCACCTGCGTATGGTAGTTCATAGTATCCATAAAGTTAGTTTCTTTATAAGAGGTGGTTTATAGGTAGCGAAACTGAAGATGTTTGAGTTCATTCATAACTATATTCAATATTCAGGATAGGTTTTTTTGGCTGAGGTATTCACTCTCTTCCTTGCACATGTGTACTTTGGTATATCATTATTAGTACTTTCTGGTTTATTCACTTTCTTTCCTTTTCCTATTTTAGGCTTTTTATTTCTTCAGCATTAATTGTTTTTGTTGGTTGGTGAGTCATTTATTTCTCTTTAATTCTCCATAAAGCAAGTTACATTCTACCGGATAGCATTTTGGTGAGTGAAGAGTTATTATATGGGTAGGTAGACGCAAGTATATTTGTTCTCTCTGTTCATATAAATATATATTGTGATTTTGGATTCTCAATCGTTTCTTTTGCACTGGTTTTCTTCATAGGCATTACCAAAGGTGCTTGCTCTTCATAGATCTGTTCCTCTGATCCTAGCGATGGCCAAAAACTATGAGAGTCTTAACAAAATTTCACCTTCAATCTATATATGGAGAGTCATAGTAAGGATGGATAGAGTATTCATGAGAACTGATTTTGATCTCTACGATAACGACTGTGGATATCTGAAGAAGTTGCTTTCATTAGACATGATAGTCTTTGATGAAGATGTAAGTAAAGAGATTTTTTCCATAAAATTATGTTGCTCGACTTTTGTCGACCATGGTTTTTTAATCTTTTTTTTTGTCCCTCAAATAGTATCTTCTGTTTACACCTAACTGAATGCAGCTCTCTTTCCATGAGTAACCTATTAGACATAATGATTTTTGCTCAACATGTATTCAGAGTACTAACATGTTGCTGTGATTGGATGGTATGAAATGATTGATCAGTTTTGTAATATGCTCAAGCTAGGAAAATTTTATTTTATACAGAATTTTTTTGTCATATATGGAAGTGAAGAGTGCACCTTATGTATCACATCATTTTAATGGGAGATAAAAAGGTCGAGTAGTATTCTCATTGGTTGCATCGCGTCAATTTCAAGTTCACTATTGTTCGGGCCATAAAGCTTGATGGGTTGTCAGAAAACAGAGTCAAAGGTATCATTGCACATGAATCCATGAATGTTATGTTTACTTTTATTTCCATTGATCTCTTTAAATTCTTTGAACATAGATATGTTATCTATTAAAATTTTTAATGTGCTTTATAGATATATGCGATCTTTTGATTAGTGTGGAGGAACTAAAAATCACTAGATATAGGGGAGCACACACTTATGTGTTTAGTTTTGTTTTACAGGATGTAGAGTTGAGTTTTGTTTTATATTATTAAGTGTATTTCATTGTGTCTGCCTAAGGTGTGAATATTGATTGTATATGTAAAGAAATAAGCTTGTGTTATATTACTACAACAAGAAAAGAATCACATGTAATATTTTTTAGTGATCTTGCTTAGAAGGACTTTGAAGTAGTGAAGGGAATGACTAAGCTGGTGTGCATTGTCCAATATGCTGTTGTGAATAGGGTTCAAGGTAAATGGTGTCTGCATTAATTTGATTTGATATTTGAATGGAATTTCTGGAATAAGGATTGAATGAATGTTACTATTTTTTTTTTAGGGGATTCATCTCTCATGAACTATGCCAATGAAACAAAGGTTTTTTGGAATCCAACCTTGTATGAAGTTCAATATATGCGGAGGGAGCTATTGAAGGGACGTGAGAAGAAATAGATATTTATGCCATTTATAAGTGTAATTTGGGACCCTAATGTCTAGGTTTCATGTTTTGGATGTTTTAGTATCCTTTTGTGGAGAAGTGTTAAGTTTCTAGTCATTCTGTTTTGCTGGTAGGGACCGAATGATCGTGATGTAATATAATTATGCTTTTCATTATAGCTTAATAGCTAATGGCTGAAACTTATTAAAATGACATGTTTGCTAATTAGTTGTCACTATTTTATAGTGAAAATCCCAAGAAGGGTTCAAACCAGAGTGGATCTCTATAGAACTATGTTTATTATTATACCACAACTTAGGTAGATATTGTTTGTTAATGACAATAATTTTATGTAGCTATGTGATCAAACCTAATTTTTTTTGTATATAGTCCCTTATTTTCTGTATGATGCGGATTAGTAAATGAATTCTTATGTAAAAGTAGCGCATATACTTATTTTCAAATGAGGATTTTAGATGATGATAATGGGAGACTTATTTGGTTTAGAATGGCTAACATTCTTGTTTCATATCCATACTGAAAGAGAGCCTTTCTGTCGTTCGCCTTGGGGTTCTCAATCAAAAATAAATCCAAGCTATGCAGTATAGTGCAAACTCAGGTCGTTTCACTTTTGGGAGCCTTTATTAATTACCTAAGCTAGACTAAATGCCATGCAATGCAATGAAATGGGATTTTGGGTTTTTAAGATTTAAATGAATTGATCCAAAACTGAATGCAATGAAAACAAACCTAAGATACTATATTTTTGGTGTTTTAAGATAATAATGATGTAATGGAAATGATTGATAGGAAATCTCTTGAAAATGGTTTTGATGGCAATCATAGTTCACTTAAATATTGGGAGTTTCACAAATCCATTAGGTTTTCTTAATAAGAACCTCATTAACTCAATGAGTCCAAAGCTTACATTAATGAACTCATTAATGTAAACTTTGTTTAGCTTCCCTAATGTGTAAATTGGAATGATCATGCAAATGGCTTAATGAAACACACAATCAACTCAATACCCAAACACAACTAGGCAAGATAAGAGAGAATCATGAGAGAGACATTAAGCATACATGCAACTACATATATTTAAGCTCAAAGTTCAACATCAATCAATCCAATATACAAAAGATAATCAGTAACCACTGATTACAGAATTAATCAAAGTATCTAACTAAGAGTTTACAATTCCTAGACCTAGGAAATCATAAATGCCTAGCTAAAAACTGAAGATTAAAACTAAAACTCCCCTTTGAAGCTTAGGAACTCATGCTACTCCACCATCTTCAAGAGTTGATAAACCCTAGCCCTCCATAGCTTCAAGAAAAGCTCCAACTGAAGTGAATCCGTCGGCCATGGTAGCTGGGAGTGGAAGGAAATGAGATGGAGTGAAGGAAAGATGAAGGAAATGGATGGGGAAGAAGATGGAGATGGAGAGGCAAGAGGATGGGAGAATAGAGGTGTTGGAGGTGATGGAATGGAGTGTTGGGTCGAAAATAGGGTTTCTAAGGGCTTTTAGGGTCAATTTGGGTCGGATCATATGAGTAGAGGGTCTATTTTTGCATTCTGGATCCGAATCTGACGTTACTGATACGAAGAGGTTCGCCGCGGCGAACTCAAAAGTTGGCCGCGGCGAACTATTCCAGAGAGGAAATGTAGTGAGATTTTGAGAGTTTGCCCCGGTGAACCAAAAAGTTTGCCCCGGCGAACTATTCCAGAATAGCCATTGATGCACATTTTTAGACTTTTTGCCACAGCACAACATTTTCTTGGAAACTCTCATGTTGTGTAATGCTTTGGTCTTCAATCTTGGCTCTAATTCTCAAGTGTCCTACAATAAAAAGCAACAATTTGAAGCATCAATTGTCCTAGAAATCAATTGAATACAATTAATAACCAATTATGACAATTTTACCCTCAAAAAGACACTAACTCAAAGTAAGGACTCTTAATCTAAATTAAGCACAATTATCATTAAAAGGAGCCAAAACCTATGATAAAAACCCTTAAAATGATATGAAATAACATAGACCAATTGGGTTCAATCACATACTGATATACAATTGAGCATTAT